CCTACTGTCTACTTAATAGAATTCAAAGCAGCCAAGTTAGGAACCTGTTTCTGGTTCAGTACAGGAGAGGCATTAAATACCTAAAAAGGGGGTCACAACAGGCAATGCACTCACTGGGGAGCTCTCCACGTTTCCCATTAAGGAAATGCTGAGAATAGAGATGTGGGTCAAATCCTGCTCCTTCTGGGATTTGGCTATCTTACTCTGGGCTGCAGAGAGCTTGCATTCCTTCATGCAAAGGGCCAATGTAGTTTGTGCCCAAAAGCTTGTCACTTTTCTTCCAGCTGTATGGTTAGTTCAATAAAAGATATCAAAAAGAACCCTTTTTAAGCACCTAAACTATTGCTATTTAAAAAAATGAATGAATGGGTTACTCTTTCTTTCAAAGACATAGCCAACAGACAAAGTGATGGTCCTCTTTATTCTGTAGCCCAGTGATTGGTGCCCTAGCCATACCCATGGGAGACCCATGTTCAATTTCTTTCCCTTCATCCTGTGGAGTGTCTTAACTCCTTGGCTACATGATGTCAGGGAAGTGGAGGGTGGAGCAGAAAATGTACACATTTTCAGTCCTTTCTGTAAAAGTTTTTCCATTTTGACTGACTAAATATTCATTGAACCAGAGAATCTGAGTGCAAACAAAACCATAGTTAACAGTTTGTATAGTTTGCCATCGTCAGCAAGAAGCCTGATGCTTGGCAACTATCTTTGACCCTAGATGGGAGTTCAGTCTCTGAAAGGATTGCAGGTTTGAGTCTGAAAGGATTGCAGGTTTGAGTACAGTTCAGTTGCTCAATGCTTTTTATAATTCCACAAATTAACGTCTCTTGAAGAAGATAATTCAATTAGTCTTCACATGGACATGTGTATTTTGGACACACAATCTCCATTTTACTGGACCGGACTTGCAAAGATAAACCACAGAGGGGAATAAATATTGACTCAGCACTCCAGACGGGATGAATTGTTCCATCTTCCCATCTGCTGTCAAACTAAATGGATGTGGAATTCAGCCTTAAGCTCTATTAAATTATTTAGCACAAATTGCAATGTTACAGTAAATCATCTGTAGAAGAAAATTAAGTTGTCCTGCATAGCCCAGCCCAGAAGAGAACAAAATGTCATTTCAGGACTAACTATTTGGCTTTTACTCAATTGTTAGATAGAATCATTTTATTTAGGGGCTGCTAGTGGTGTGTAAGTATAATAAAATACCAATTAGTGAGAGAACCTTGGATCAGAGGTACTTAAGCTGGGGCTCCTCACAGGTTTTTGTATTCTGAGTAAACCATATTAGATTACAGGATGTCCAGTCATATATTCACTGTCTTCATGACATCTGCCAATAGTATCTTTTGTCACTTTTTAAAAATCTTCCTAAATTCCTGACCCAGCTTCCCTAGCAACTTAAAGATGTCAGCCCTGGGGCCAGTCTTTCATTAGATACAGCTGGAGTGACTTTTCTGTTTGCCCTTGGCATAGACGGATACCAGGAGACAGATATTCTCCCTGCACCTTTAGGAGCTGCCGCAGCTTGTGCCACATACTGGAGCCCAAGAATCCAAGGTTTGTTGGCAAAGACCACATTTGAAAACCATCCTGAATCCTCTACCTCCTTTCTCTACTACCACTCTCTGCTGCTCCTTCCTTTCTTCAGATCTTGTCTGGACCACCGCTAGCTGGGACTGGAGAATCGCATCCTTTCTTTAAAAAAATAAAACGAATACCCACAGAATCAATTTTGCATTCTGAGTTGCAAAGCTATGGGGGTAGCAGACTTAAACATATACATATTTAAAATTCCCATCAGGCTGAAGTGTTCTAGTCAGTCAAATTTTGCATCTTGAGCTTTTCTAGCTTCTCTCAAGTAGAATATTTTATTTGCCAAACTTAAAGTTTTATGGATTTGAATATTCAAACTGCATAGTTTTGGCTGCTTTGAAGCAATTATCTCCTTTCATTGCACAGCCTTCAAAAGAAAATGTTATTACAGAGAAATCATGAGGGAAACAGATGCAAAATACTCTGGGGACCATATGGCTGCACAAAGATTCATTTTGGAATCGGTGCAATTGCTTTTATTTTTCAGAGTCCCTTGCATTTTTCTTTATTCATAAGGGAACCTGGCTATCTTTTAACATTAATATTATCTGTGTGATGCCACAAGCTGTTTAGCCCAGACTTACCCAAAAGACTTCCTGAGTTGTATAATTACAAAAAGTTAGAGGGAATTGGTCAGAATCTGGTTAGAAACAGAATTAAACTTAAAAAAAAAAAAAAAAAAAAGTTACCTGGGAAATGAAAATTTTTTTCAAAAAAAAAAAAAAAAAAGGGGGGAGGGAAAAAAAAAAAAAAAAAACAAAATTTCCCGGGAAAATGAAACTTTTTTAAAAAAAAAAAAAAAAAAGGGGGGAGGGAAAAAAAAAAAAAAAAAACAAAATTTCCCGGGAAAATGAAACTTTTTTAAAAAAAAAAAAAAAAAAGTTACCTGGGAAATGAAAATTTTTTTCAAAAAAAAAAAAAAAAGAGGGGCAGGCAGACTAAAGAAACAAAGACTAAAGAAATAAGTAAGATTCAGGCATTAGCCATTTTGAAAATAAAGCAGTATTTTAAAGCCTTAAGTGCCAGGGGTAGTGCGTTCTTTTGATTATATAAATCAATGAGTGTGTAGCTGTTTAGTTACTGCAGGGACCCATCACTTAAAACAAAACTATTTATACTTAACTTTAAAGTCTGCCTGTGCCCAACTTTTATCTCAATCAGCAATAAACTGAGGGATATAAGCTTTTTAGCCAACCATACCAAAAACTCTATAGATACTAATAGCAATAATCTCTTGAAGTAGGTGGTTTAACCTGTTCAGCTTTGTACAGTGCCACACATACTGAAATCATGGCTTGATTGGGCTCTAGCTATTGCCTTAGGATCAAATAGCATTGTGGTGGGAGCCACTGTATCACTTGTCATGTTTATCCTTGATGGCTGAGAAATGTACAGCCTCTGTAGAAATGTCATGTTTTGTAATGAAGGTTGTTCTGCAGGAGAGTTTGTACTTCTTAATCACTTTGCCTAGTCAATTCATGCTGTACTTGCTTTCTGGGTGTTAGTGCTGATGTTCTAGGTCTAGGAAGAGGTGTTTGGCCTGTGTATCATTTGTGACCATATCTTTTCAAGGATTGGTTTGTGTGTACAAACAACTGAACTGGATACCCAGATTCTGTCAGCACCTTTCAGAAGACATTCAGTTCACTTTGGATGAAGCTAGGTTGCTGAAGCACATTGGTAACTGTTCTCTATGGATAGAAGTAGTGCCACTAGTTGCTTCTGTTGTTGTTCTGAAAATCTCTGTATCTGCAAAGGTACAGAGAATGCTCCATGTTCAACCGCTCAAAAAACCTTTGCCATAACTCAGGTTGAATGACTTGCCTTATACAAAAATGCCTGCATGGAGTTGTCCTCTGAGTTGTCCTCATTATATGCATTCACAATTCAATGCTAGGTTTGCATTTTGCGGTACTGTACTGACAACTCTAAAAAGTGAACTTGTGAATGGTGGTGCTTACACTGCCACATGAGCAAATTTCCCTACGCTACCTTCTTAACATGTTACCTTCCCTGTCCTTGAAGGTGCCAAACTGTTATTTGTCATGGTTGTGAATGACAACAGTGGTGTCAATTAACAGTATTTTTCTGGAAAGGGGATGCTTAGGGTGTTTGAACACTTCAGTGTCTTGCCAAGAAATAGTAAACTTGCCTCCAGGTTTACTGGGCATTAGACTTGAACTGAGATGGAGGACTACTGTGTTAACCTACTTCTAGTTTTTAAAAGTTATCTTCAGCTTTGAGATGCTTACTCTTTGTGGCAGTGGCCAGCAGACATTGAATTGCTGCCTTTTTGCTTTGGGACATCTTAGAAAATGTCAGTGATGAGACCAATGACACACTTTGAAGTCCTCCCCTGTGATCTATATTTAGTTCTCTAGTAAACTTCCTTTTACTAGCATGCCTACATTAGTTAGGTGTGCTTTCAATTTTACTGGCACAACTATTCAGATAAACCCCAACAACTTTCCATAGAGTTTTCTGGTAGAATACTATTAGCAGCCCCTTTATAGAAATGCAGTTTATAATGGCATAGGCAGGACAGCTTCTTTGGGCAGGTGTGATATCTTTTATTAGATCAAATGTTCTTTGCAAGCTTTAGGGCACAAGCACCCTTCTTCAGGCATAGGGAGTCTCTGCTGTTCTGAGATCCCCAAGGAATGATAGAGGCTAAAAGTATGACAGGATGTCAGTGAGAATGTAAATAGGTAGAAATTAGGAAAACTGAGTAGGGAAGGGAGGTGGGGAATGGGGGACAATGGGGGAATAATGCCAAAGGTAAGTAAGGGAGACTCTACTGTAGTTGAGTTCTCCAAATTAGAAATGAGGCCATCTGTGAAAAAGTAAATAGCTGGAAATTGGGAAGACAAAGGGTAGAAAAGGGTGGGGGGAGAAAAGTATAAATGTCATTTAGGAGTGTGATATCCCTTTCCCCTCTCTTGAGATAGCTGTGTTAGTAAAGTTCAGCCTGGACCAGGCCTTTTCTTCTTTTAACCACAATATTTTGGTGTCACATGGGTCAACTGCTGCTACTGCTCTATGTAGTTTGATCCAATGTAGAAGGGTTTTTTGCATGCTTTATTTACAGCTGCAGAGTAGGACTCAACGGGTATGTCTATAGGCACAAAAGAGTTGTGGGGACATACCCATGTGTTTTGAATGAACTGGTATCTCTACACAATACAGGCAAACTGACATGGGTCTGGGAAAACCATCTCATGGGGAATGGAGTTAATCCACTTAAATTACATGCTAACACTAGTGTCCTGATTTTAGGAACCAACCTAGCATGCATATTTCTATACAGTTGTGTATTTTAAATTGTCTACCTGTTCTAATATTTAATTCCTATTAGAAAAGCTTTTACTATATTGATTATTTTCCATTTTGTATTGCAGTAACGTCTGAAATACTCAGCCAAGGGTAGTCCTAAAACTGCCGAATGAAGGAATCTTCAAGCCTACTACACAATCAGTCAATGACATACAGAGTTTCAGAGACAACAAGGGACTCTACATCAGGGATAAAGTGCCAATTCAGGTATTTCTGCTGTGAAATGTGAACTGTCACACCTTAACTCAACACACACAGTTCGTTGTTTACTCTTATTATAGTGGCACCTGCTGGCTCTGAGATCAAGGTCTCACTGTACAATGTGCTTTATACACACAGCACAGTCTTTGCCCCAAGGAATTTGTTGTTTAAATAGACAGCTTGGGGAGCAGAGGTGGTAAGGGGAGATATACATGGGGAAATTTTGGCAGTGTGTAAATGGAGGGACCCACTGTAGTCCATAAAAGGAGGTGTCAGCAAAGCAAGGAAATAAAGTCAGATTTGCAGAGTTCTGACCCACAGTTTTTTGTCCGCATGAGGTTGGTCTTGTAGTTAACATCTTTATAAGTCCAGCAAACCAGAGCCAATCCCACTTGACAGAGTGGTGAACAGAAGGGTGCTACGTCAAAAGTACCATGCCTTTTTTAGCGTAGCTAGCTTCTGTTGATTAGTAAATGAGGGAGGTCATAAAATGGCACAGTAGATACAGTGACTTTGTTTTCAACCTAGGCAGGCAGTATTGAAGTAAGCAGTAGTGTGGTGGTGAAGTGCCCCCCTGCCCTGTCTTTCTGCAGCCCCTTCCCTAGGCAGTACCCAGTTCATGTGCCTGCTTGCCCACCCCACGTTATGCTACTGCCCATGGACAACTATAGACCTGTAAGCCATGCTGGAAGGTATTGCAGGTATCAGGTTTCCCATGTGCCATCAGTTGCAGACTATTGCTCAAACCTTTAGATACTGTTTTCTGGGCCTGTGCAATCTTGACTTTTCCTGGCATTTAAAGATCGTGTTTAACATAATGTTTGTATCAACTCAGATTCTGTCCACCTCTGCATTGGTGCAGTTCAGTTAAACTCAGTGGGGTTGTGTCGTCTTTTTTATTTAAAAGCTTCATTCTTTAACAACCAGTCAACCTGCACTGATAATAGAATGAGCTGTTGCTTTCACCCTCTGTAGTTTAAAACCAGAGTCAAATCCATTCTGCTCCAAATGTCTGGCATAATTAGTAAAGCCAGCTGTACTGTGGGATGTTGTTGGAAGCTATGCTACCAGGTCCCTTTTCAGTGTCTGGTTGTAAATGTTTCCTTAAGCTATGCTAATTTATTTCATTCTGCATTTGTTCTACTCTTCAAAGTCCCTTCATTACCAAAGGAAAGTCCTTGTTCTCTAACAGCAGCCAAAATATTTGCCCCTGTTAGGGTGGCTATTCGTCTGGTTTTATAGAGGACTGTCCAGTTTTCTGGTCCTCTGTCCTCTATTGATATGAAACTGGACACCTTTATGTCCTCTGTTTTTCATTGCTCAGCACCCTCCCCCTGCTGCCACTGCTGACACCACTGTGGCTGCCTGCAGAAGCTCCCTGCTCAGCACTGCCATGCCCCCAGTGCTGCCACCACCTGCGCGAGCTCACTGTGCCCCTACAGCTTTGGGAGGCATGCAGTGTTCATAGTGGTGGGGATTGCACTAAATGCAACTGTCCTCTATTTTTGAGGTACCTTGATGGCCACCCTAGCCGCTATCCTTGTCTTCATTCCATGCAACAAAACCTAACATTCTGTTTCTGTCTTCCTAAGTTAATGAAATGCTGGCAGATTTTTGCCTCAAGTGTTTATGGGCAATATATAGGACAAGATGATGTCTACAGATGGTGTTTCCTTACTTGTGTGTTTTGGTATCATTGGTGATTTGTTTAAAATATCTGGACTCAAAGGCAATAAACATGGACCACAAATCTGTCCCTCAATGGCAAAATAGTTTCTGATTGTGGAGCCCTCTTCTAGTCTTCAAGCGTAACTTTTTCCCTCCCATGAAAAGGATGTCCCAGAGTTGAGCCAGACCTCACTTCTGCTCTTCAGGATTTTATGACACCAAAATCAAGCACTCTTCCATTGTAAACATTGAGTGGCAATAATAATATGTAGTAGGGGATAGTCAGAGATAAATAGTTTGTGAGGAAATATGCTTCTTGACTGCACAAAGCTGTTCTTCATTAGCTGTTTAACATACTGCTTGTGAAACAAAGGTAGGAAAGTTTTCATGATGCAAAAGAAGTTTGGAGGCATATTTGTATATTATGCAGTCACATCCTCCCTCACCACTCTGGGGTTCACAAGCAGATTGAAGCACAGAAAAATGATAGGTTGAATATCCAATTGAAGTTGTCACAGGGACTTGCAGGGATCCTCCTATGAGTTCTAAAAAAAACTTGTCCACAGTGTTTTGCAGATGGAATCTCAACTCACTAGTCTAGCAAATGTCTATAGAAGACAAAAAGCAACCAACAAATAAAACCCCTTTGGTAACAGGATATCTTGTCTGCACATAAGCCCAAAATAGGTATATATATTTGGTCAAATTAATAGTGTTCAAATGATGGGATTTCCACCACTTTCCTCAGGAGCCTAGTCCAACATTAGAAGACAGATGATTGGTTTTCAGTTTCTTAATGTTTGCTCCTATTTCTTATTCAAAGAGTCAGATTAAGTAATACTGGATAGACTTCATTGTCCTCTAGTTTAGGCCAAGTGTTTGTGCTGTTTGCTTCCATAAAGATCATAATTCAAAAGTAATTGGGGGAAGAGGGTGCTTAAAGTTTTACATTAAAAGTCACAACCTTCCAGTTTTCTGGAGGATTGGATGATTCAGATAAAAATATCCCAGAGCAGTGAATGAGGTTCTGTCTGTCTCCCAGCTGAAGCAGTTTTGGTATGCACTGAATGATTCATACTGCTGATTGCTATTAGATATTCTGTACGTCACTCTAGGGACAGACATTCAAAAAGCCTGAACCTGAATTGATTCTATCTTCTCAGGTTAGTCTAACCTTCAGAGATTGAACTAATTTGCAAGTGGATAGACAATCAATTTTGAATCAGGAAATGCAGGCACATGCCTGTAGTGGCTCAAGGCGGAAGTTGGGGGGGTGCTAGAGTGAGCCATTCCTTCCCTTCCACCATGCTGACGTGAGGGGGGCATCGCCAGGCCCTGGCAGGATGTTATAATTGGGAAGGAGTTTAAACCCCTACCCTGGACTGCACAGTCCCCAGCCAGGGCATGCCTAAGGGGGAAAGGGAAGGCTTTTCCCCCACTTGCTGCTTAAGGGGTGGGGAGTATTACTGGATCCTGGACCCCAGCTAGCACTCTGAGGCAAAGGGGGTAAAGGGTATCTGTTGATGATACTGAGCTTTTCAGTCTGTCCTTCTCTGCTTCTTCATACTATCTGCAACAAACTGACAGTGCTCAGATTGTCTCTCAGCATTATCTAACATGGGGGTGGTGTGGCCAGATGCCGGCTGGGGTCTATGCCACTGGGGTCCCTGCTCTGGGGGAGGGGGGAAACCCTGCTTGAGCAGCGAGCGAGGGGAGGGTGGGGCAGGGGGAAGCCAGGCAGATGCTGCTGTTTCCCGGATGCCATCCGTCACCCCGTCTCAGCTAGATGGAGCTCTGGCTAGGAAGGAAAGGGGTGGGGCCAGCTATGCTCTCTGGACCAGACAGCTCAGCCCAGCCCAGCCCAGCCCAGCCCAGCACAGGGCTG